AAAAAAAAATAAAGTCAATACGTAGGTGAAGAAAGGGACGATGAATTAACAAGAAAGACTGAAAAAAGTAACGCAAATACTCGACTTGAATTGTGTTGAATTTTGACTGAAACGGTAAATATATTAAAGCTTGAATTTTAGCAACATATTTTATAACAGCATGTATAAATAAAAAAGAAATAAAATATATAAGAATGAGCGCTTCAAAACAGTAGATGTATATTTTACAGATGATCGATATATTCACATAGATAATAATTAAAATTTATAATAGTAGCTAACTGATCACTAGTGAACTTTGATTAGAAAAAGAATCAGAGTCATTCTAAAATACATTGATTGTATTGACTATTCATCTTTAAGAAGAAGATTTGATTGCTTATTCATTTACTACACATTTAGTCTCAGTAGCAGCTATGATCATTCAGACTTTCTACGATACCCCTTAGGTTCTGTGGAATGTGAACATGAGATGGGCATGGGCATTAGCAGATATGGGTGGAGTTTCACATAGGTAGTTCTGTGACGAATAACATCACTAAACGTCCCATAAAACTTCCTTAATTACAATAGAGGATGGGCAGAAACGAAGATGAGACACATTATTCGGATTTGAGAAAGTGTTTGTGAACGAAATTCCACTCAAATGACTATGCGGTACCTAGTTCAACCAAACTGTCCATAAGAATACAGTCCAGAATGTTTCTCCGAGAATGTGTTCTCGACGAGATGTTCTTAGCTTTTGATCTTCGTACAAAAAGTCTCTCATATAAAATCTCCTTTCGATAAAGTCATTTCATTAAAAGAAATTCAATAATTGTAGTTCAAAATTCTAATGATGAGATTTGATGTAGAAGCACATTTAAAGTTTCATTGAATGAATCTTTCGGCACAAAATATGAATTCTTTTCAATAATTCTCACACTGCAATTATGTCATTTTTGTCTAGATCATATAGTTCATTTGTTATATCTTCAGAAATTTGTGTGATTAATTGTTTTTTTATACGTGAACATACTCGAATATTGATTTGAATAATCATACTATGAATGGTATACACTTGAGGGCCGATGAGATTGTGAGTAGAATCGGCGTTTAGATGCTTATATGCCGAGTATGTACACTCAAGAATATTTTCACCCTCACTCTAGAAATGATTACCTGGTTTTTTAGATAATTTAAGTAAAAAGTCCTTATGTAAACATCGAAATATTTATATCTAACAATGATTATACAAACAATTTAAATGTTAGTTGCTATTATATGAAATCAAATATTCCACTGTCGTAAGTTCTGTCCTTCTATATACAGCAGCATTGTTTAATTAGCGAGTGGTGGGTGATCATAGTAATGTCTCTTCTAAATTTCGAATTTCTTAACTAATAGAAATCTTTCAATGTGTTTGTTGAATTTATAAAGTGTTAAATATTTTTTGAAAATAACATTTAGAATAATATGTAATTCAGTTTCTCAATGAATTGGTAACCGGTCTAAAACGGTTACTGATGAAATGATTACCGATGTATACGATTAATCAGTAACTAATCGTCCCTGTTGCATCCCTATTACGGGTACACATCTGTATCGGGGCATCGGGGCGTGGGTGTGTCACTTAGCCGTGTACCAAATCACAACTTCTTTCCAGAACTCCATCTCGAATCAAACGATTCGGGCTGAACCGCATGCGTTATTCTAGACTATCACATGATGTTAGGGGTGGATCAATTAATTGAATCCCACTTAATAAATTCACTTAATTTAGCTTTTCAGTTAATATTTAATACAAAGTTTTGATTGTTGATGAAAAACTTTAATACTTCCCAGATCGTAAAATCCGACAAGGAAACGATCAGCTTCGTAGTATTCCGAAGGTTTCATGGAAGCAGTATGCTGGCTAGCGGTCCGATCATGGGATTTGTCCAACTCCGTTCGGATCTGACTGGAACCTGCTAAAGCCGACAGCAGGATACGCTCACTGGATCCTTCTGCCGGATTTCTAGCTTTTTCTGACAGGTTCTGACCGAGAGCTGCAAATTTCGCGGCGGTTTTCATCGGAAACTGAGAGAATACTGCTTCAGGAACCATCGTCCTGGGTTATTATTAAGTGTTAAGTCAAATGCCTCGTCGCTAAATAATCATAATATGATACAGGAAATTTAACAAGGAATCCTTCCACAAATAATTTCTTTTCTATGCCGAAGTGTAGATGAAAAGTATGCTAAATACTGAGATGCTCCCTAAATCTGAGACATCGACCGTTGGATAATGTTTCTTATATTAATCAGAGAAATTTTGTGTTTTTTTCTTTCTTTTCTTTCGAAGAATTTCGGCTTATCATTATTGTTGACTCGTTTTAATTTCGTTATCATTTCTCTTTTATTTATTGACAATATGACGATATGTAGGAAAAAATGATGAATACGAAATAAAAATCAACAAAGTAAATACTGTTATTGATTATATGTATATACTTAGACATGAACATATATATAACTAGAAGAGAATAGTTCTTTATATTCATAGATAGTCTTTATACATCTATAAAATGTTGTTCGAATTATGTCTTATTCTTTTATTGATAATTCTCTACGTAATTTACGTGAAACGTCGATATTTTAGTCTTCATGGTTCTCTGCCTGGTTTATCACCCCACTTTCTGTTTGGAAACTTGATTCAAGCAGGTGTATTGTTTCGCAATATATCAGTGCCTAATGCTTTGCGTCAGTTCAAAGCTCGATATGGAGATGTATTTCAGTTTTGGCTCGGTTCTTCACGTATAATTGTCGTCAGTGGTGTTGAGGATGTACAACACGTACTCACTCATCGGCACATCTACGATAAAGGTGCTTTATCTACTCGAACATTTAGCATACTCTTTCCTGATGCAATCGTCTGTTGCAAAGGTCTGTCGATTTTGTGCTAAGAGAAGAAACCCTTATGTTTTCTGGTTTTCAGGCGCCAAATACAAGCGTCATGCCGCCTATATTCTCACCTTATTTCGTCGTACAAAGGTCATGGCTAATCTAGATTTAATGATTGATCATGTTGATAAATTGTTAGTTAGATGGCGTGCCAATGACATCGATATAATTCATCAAAATATTCTTCAACAATGTCAATATCTCGTACTTGGTATCTTTGGTTTCATTGCTTTTGATTATGATCTAGAAATACTTAATGGCGAAGATTTTACCGGAAATGAACTTACACAAGCTTTGCAAGACTTTGTCTCTGCATTCCAATTTCTGCTTTTTTCACCATCATTCATCAGCTCTATCTATTTGAAATTCAATTCTCGATATAGACGTGCCAGAGAAGTTATCAAACGACACCTGTATCAAATAATCGAACAAGAATTGACCGAGAATGAAGAATCGCTAGCAAATCGAAAGAGAACATGTTTCATCGCTTCACTGGTCACCTCACTGCAAGAAAACGAAAGTTTAGAAGCCAGCAAACCTGAAGAAGACAAAAAAGGTAACATATTGCTATGAGTAATAGTGCTAAAATTTTTCAATATTCATATATATGCACTTGATCACTAGTCTTAACATAAAATATCTAAATAATAGAGCATCTATTTGAAAGGAAACTATCATTAATTTTCTTTCCTTTCGAATTACTTCATGATTATGTTTGATGTACGAAAGAGTATTTATTTGTAGGTCTATCTCGTCAAGAAGTATTGGATGAGATGCTTCTTTTTCTTGTGGCTGGCTTCGAAACGACTGCGACTGCGCTGGCTTGGTTCATCCATCTCATGAGTAAACATCCGCGAGTGCAAAGCAAGATTAAGGCAGAATTAGCATCCAATGGTGGCACCACACAAGATATCACACAAGATCGTCTTGACTCATTAGTCTATCTAGATTGTGTTGTCAATGAAGTTCTTCGCTTTTGTCCGCCACTACTAGCAGCAGTTCGCACAGTGGGTGTCGACGACGTTCTACCACAGAGTGGAGCTCAGCTACATGAAGGAGATGAAGTGCTCATTCCAATTCACAATCTTGCAAGAGATACTCGTCTCTGGTCGATTGATCCTGATCTCTTTTATCCTGAGAGATTTCTTGAAGCAGACAAGAATCATCATCCCTATGCTCTTCTTCCATTTAGCACTGGTCATCGTCAGTGTATTGGTCAAGATTTGGCTCGTTTTGAACTCAAAGTATTAGCAGCAAGGTTGATGCAAAACGTAACATTCACTGATGGTGGTCCTCAAGTGAATTCAGGTGGACATTTTGCAAGAGTTTCCGTCATGCCCAAACATATTGGTGTCAAAATTAGCTTTGACTATTAAACACTTTTTCTCGTGGATAGTTTTACAATATATTCTAAATATATATATATCAAATTTTAATAATCAAGAGCACAGCTTGTAAACCAGAGATATGAATGAAAGAAAGAGAGGATACTGCCTACTCCCAAAAGCTACACATTCCTGCATCTACTGTAATTCCGTGTGTAATTCAATAGATATCTAGACCAATCAATCAGTTCATCAACCAAATGTGCAACTTTTCGGAATAGGATGAGTGCTCGCGTACATATTCTATTCATGTGTTCGAGCACGATACATTGCTCTAATGCAATTTGTTGTATCTTTTCACATATTCGCATTGAACATCTTCAGATAAAATAGAGCTCGACCATCCATTGTAAACGAAACCGATCATCGAAGAATCGTGCTAACGAAAAGACAGGATCGTTGAAAAAAGATCATAGAATTGCTTGTTTTTCTTCTTCGCTTCATCGATGTTAGTTTGCGACAATGCGGCTTTTGATGAAGAGCATTACATTTTTCAGAGTCTTTTTTCATCTTTCCACATAATTTCTGCTCTTTTCTACAGGAAACGAGCGAAATTTGCTGGAAAAATGTTTAGATTTTCCAATTCTGCATTCTAATGATGGTTGAAAGATTTAATGTTACTGCCGATTGATCAAAAATATAATATTGGTATGAATTTCTGTAGAATTTATTTTATTAAGAGTTTTACAATGTGTTTAGTAAAATAAAGTAGAAAAACGAACACAACTTCTATTCGTGTAAATAGTTACAAAAATCAAATGAATTTCATCAATATTGCGAAAATGAATCAAAAGTAAACATATTCAGTGTTACTTGTGTTCTTTCCTGTCGTTATCTCAAGGCCGGCTGCCTCAAGGAGCTGTGAATACGTTCCATGCGGATTAGCGGTCAATTGTTCATCAGTTCCTTCTTCCTCCTTTCGTCCACGAACTAAGACCACTATTTTCTCACTATTTCTGATAGTCGATAAACGATGTGCTATCATGATACAAGTTCGATTTGCTCGTGTTTGATTAAATGTATGCAGAATTTTCTAAAATAATATTTGAAAAATTCTCGATCGAAAACATTTTCATTTTATATATTCAATAGTGGCAAACATACCTCTTCAACTGCGGCATTAAGTGCGGAAGCTCCTTCATCAAAAAGAACTATTTTCGGATTACGAATTAATAATCGTGCAATAGCAATTCGCTGTTTTTGACCACCAGCTAACTTAAGTTGATCACTGGATCCACACAATGTATCATATCCCTAAATATCAATAAAAGTATTTCCATATTACTTTCAAACAAAAATCTTTGATCGCTAAATCAAATATATTTTTTCGTTTTGTAATTTTATAGAAGATATTGATGATATTAGTGTAACGACAAACTGGTTGAGTAGCTGACCGCTTCTCACGGTATAGATGTTTATTGACTACTCTACATGACCAGAATGTATCTCTTTCACAATAAGACACGCGCTTATATAGAGAAGAGGAAAGAGAGATATGACCCGGAGATAGTATGATATAGAGGTGAGAGGATAAAGAACAGAAAGAGATGAACGATATCATTATCGTTACAATTAGTAGCAACGAAATTCATTGAATACTAAATCTCAGTATAAATACAAGTAACGCTTATTCTACGAATCTGCTGACGCTTTTCAGAAAGAGAACATCCATTTATGATTGCTAAAAAAGTTCCAATAGCATCATATATTATAAAATAACCCCCATTAGCTGAACTCCAGACTTTGCGGAACATAGTCAATCGAGATTTTTACATTAAGAAATCTAAAATTGGGCGTACCTAATTTAAACTACCATCAAAAGGAAACAAGCGTGTTTTTTGGGATTTGTGTACTCCAGTAATATACAAGTTTGCCTGTTCCCTCTTAGTTATTGTACACAAACCTTTTTTTTGAGGTTCTTATGTTATTCTGACCTTTGATCTCTCTCTGATCAATTTACGTTGACAAACTCTTCAAGATATTTTCTTCAATATAACACCTTTTCCAAGAAAAAGGATGCATATATTCTGATTAAAAGTTACGTAAATGTAATATAAACATGATCTCATATACTAGATGCAAGAAAACAATGATAGTGAAGTTTAAAGTTCATTAACCATCTGCACTTTACAGTTAAGAATGAAAGTTTATATATTTAATTACTATAATCCACTATTTGTGTTCTTTCAAAAACTTGAGACTAACCTGTGCTAATTTAATAACGAAATCATGAATATCAGCTTGTCGAGCAACTTCATAAATTTCAGCATCTGTAAACTTTCGTGTTGTATCTCCATAAGCAATATTATCACGAATTGAAATATTAAAAAGAGCAGGTTCTTGTGGTACAAGACCAATTATTGAACGAAGCCATTGAATGTTAAGTGTGCGTAAATCATGTCCATCTAGTAACACTTCACCTTGTTGTGGATCGTAAAAACGCTCCAATAAAGCAATACACGTTGATTTACCTGACCCACTTGGACCGATAACTGCTGTTGTTTTGCCTCTTTTACATTTGAAAGACAAATGTCTTAGTACGCGTGATTCCTTGCGTGATGGATATTTGAAAGAAACATCGCGAAATTCGATCACACCACGTACTTCGTGCTACAAAATATTATTAATAGTTAGTTTTGGGAAAACCTTGCTTTTATACTTGAAAACAAACAATCTCAAGTGTATTTTCTGACAAAAAATTCAAAAATCAGTCTATTTTATAAGAACATTGATAGATGCCATCAATAGTCAATTTTAATATTTCTTCATAAAGTTCGTAAACTTAAAATTCTTTTTATTTTTTCCCTTGAAAAAAAGGCAACTTACTAAAACTTTTCCTTCATTTTCTTTATATGGATCAATAAGTGATTGACGAGCATGTAAGTCCATAATTTTAATTGATGCTTCTTTTGCTCGACTATAATTTGGTACCATACTTACACTTCGACCAAATGCTACTGTGGCATATGTAACCACAGCAAAAATTCTAAATAATGAATATGTTAACAATAAAATACTAATTAGTGTCAGAATGAGCATACTGAAATACACCAACGTAAGTCATTTCTCGATTGATTACTAAATGAGCGCCATAGCCAAAGGCAGTTAATTGAATAAAAAACATTATTGTATTTGCAATTGCATTACCAATTACAATTTTTTGACTTTGCCATAAAGATGATCTAGTTTTTGTCAAAGATAAGAAAGAATATTACTTCCAAATGAGATCATTATAACTCTCTGTAAAATCTTTATTCGTCAAGTGACAAAACTAACTAAAATTTTCCTTTTGAATAGATTGAGTAATTTTCGCTTGTAACACAACTCTTATAAACAGAGATAGATCAGATCAAGTTCATGAACTGAGATCTAATAAGAGAAAAAACTAAAATCGTCGAAGTCTCCTTACGACATCGATTTATGGTAATCAAATAACTGATACAATCATAGATTTATTCATTATTTTCAAATGAAATTGGTTAAATGTATTAATTATTAATCAATAAAACTTTTTTCTTGTATTTCTATAATTTTCAACCTTCTGTGCACAGGGATGATCGACGGCGATCCATGCCCTTTTTTGAAAAAGTAGCATGTAGATAATAGCATAAAATTTACTCAAAAAATAATTATTTCAACCAACAAGAAAAATTCAACCATAAATCAACTTACCGAAATTCTTTATTGTAGGCGTTTTTATACAGTCGGATAAAATGATTTTGAAGGCCAAGAGAAGTAACAGTACGAATATGCTTGAGTGATTCAGTAGCATACTATGAAAGAGAAAAAGACAATTTAGATTTATGATCAAGATTATTCTTCTATGAAAAAATTATTTCAGAGATCACATCTAAGAACTAGATAGTCCCTACGAGAATACTATTCTATATCACTATTATTCTTGTGGAAGTATCTATTTCTTAAATGTGGTCTATTAATTAGATCCGTTAGCTCAAGAAATTATTAATAACAAGTTTGAACGAAAAGTGAATTATATATATGGTAAAACCTCCCTTAATGAACGCTTCTTATTTGAACACATCCCTCGCCCCCCCCCTCCCCTCCCGAGTGATTTTTGCTGTGATTGCACCTCTACATAATGAACACCTCCAAACTGAACATTGAACCCTTTTTCCGGTCACTTTGACAAAGAAAACCTCTAAGAAATGAAGAGATTTGCGGTAAAATACATTTTTTAGGAGGAAAAAAGAAGTCGAAAATATTTTGAAACTGTGTTTTGTCCAGTCTTTTGACGATTTTTTTATACATAGAAAGTGGTCTTGCACAGAAAACAAAATAAGCGATGAGAATATTTCGCACACTTTAATTAATTTTTTCTCGATCCTAATTAGAATAGACACTAAACCGACTGTAGAAACAAGGTAGAGGATGGGAAAGCAGATTGACACTCCTGAAGGTGTCAACAAGATATTAGCAGTAGCTTGATAACCTAATGTTTCTATTAATAATGACCAATCACAATACTATGATTTTATCTCTCGTCTACGTTTAAAACTCGTTCATGTTCCCATCGAACTGAACAAGGTTAACGAGACGATGCAAAACAATCAATTTCACAACAATTCACTGGATTTTGTGATCAAGAAGTACTACTTGATTGACTTCACGTTTACTAGATGAAATGTACTACAAAAAACACAGATACCATTCAGTCGTGTTCACTGTGAATTCTACATTTGTATCCTGCCAATCGATTGAAAACCTCTATATAATGAACGCTTTTCGTGTGGTCCCGTAGGTGTTTATCTTACGGAGGTTTCACTGTATCCAGTTATGATTAATATGAAAATGTCTTGATTTATGTTAATATAATTATATTCTATTTTCCTTACCGTACTACCATGTTCAGCATGAGAAGAAAAACCTTTCGCTTGACCAGCTTTTGATACTCTTTGACCAAGCATATAACCAGTTAGAACAATCAATGGAGTAAAACAAAGCAGAACAAGTGTTAATTTCCATCCAGCATTAAAACTTATAACTAAACCAGCAACTAAAGTACCAACAGCGTTTAGAAAAGCTCCAATAGTTACACCAGTCATTCCTTTTAATGAAGCTGCATCTTTTGAAAGACGTGCAACAAGAATATTATGTTGATTCTCTTCAAGGTCATACCAGGACATTTCTTGACGTAGCATTGTAACAAAAGAGATAACACGCATTCGTAGAGTTAATGCTTCTCCTGATCGTGCAAATGCATATGATGAAATAAACTGACAAAGGCCACCAGCTAAACCAACACAAAATACAAGAATTGAATAATTTCGTGCATTACGTTCTGCTGTTTCGACATCTTGATTAAATAATCCAAATACAAGGGAAAAGATTAAAGCATATGCTGGGGTAACAGCTCCATAAATCAATGATGTTATACTTCCCAATAATATTGAAAGCCATTCGGGAGAATTGAGAGCAAGTATTCGTAAGAAAAATGGTTTTCGACTGGTACTCTTTGGAGCTGCTGTTATTTGTTTTGTTTCATCATCATCTGTGGTGGAAGATGTTTTAGAATGAGTCGAGCATCGTGAATCTCGTCGTCGACGTTTACCTATAATATACACCTCTATAGTTGGCCGATTAGAAAAAAAAACTAGAGAACAAATAGTCAATAAAGAACCAAGAAAAAGAAGTTCTTTTTTTTAACGAAATTGATGAAAGATAATTGAGGATAACAACTTTGAAATCAATTTGTACCTGTTTTTTGACTGGTGTTATTAGTGAATGTGACTTAGCTATGCTGTGCGGGTTAAAACGGTTATAACTAGTTTCCACCCACTAAGTTGATACGATTAAATCAGCTATAACTCATTTTAACTCCCACAGTTCAATAATCACGGAAAATCAGATTTACTAGTCTCGCTGTATTAGAACGGACTTAAAATATGAAATTGCAGTTTACAATAGAAAAATTACGAAGAAAATTAGTTTACTTTAAATACGATCTATGTGTGTAAACTGTTATACATTCGGAGAAATTAATACATCACAAATAGAAGTAAATCTTCGTCCTAAATTACTTCTTACTCGACTTTTTCGTTAAACAGCTCTTCGATCAATTGCTCGAATATAGGTAAGATTCTCTCTTGCTCACAATGCTAAGTCTCAATATACAATCATCTATGCTTGATAAAGAAATAGATGGAATTGTAAGTTGCCACCACTGTTATTCGTTGATTGTTCCGATAGTTAGTATAAGATAAGTCTTTCATAAAATCAAACTATTTAACATACCAAAAGCCTGATTATTTTCTTTTTCATAATCTTCATTTTCGTCTTCATCATTATCATCATGTGAATTCTCCAATCTTTGAAGTTTAACTGCTTGTGCATACGATCCATTAAGTTCCATTAAGTCTTTATGAGTACCTTGTTCCTCGATTTGACCTGCTTTGAGACCGATAATATGGTTTGCATGTCGAATTGTTGATAATCGATGAGCAACAACTATTGTTGTTCGACCTTGATAAGCTCGTTCAAGACCAATTTGTACTTCCTTTTCACTCTTTGCATCTAATAGAGAAATTATATCATTTACTTCATTTTATAGTTTCAAACTAAATCGGATATTTCAATTTAATTTTTACATATTAATCGAAATAATATTCAACTTCAGTGAGATATTTCTACGTATATTTAATTACCTAATGCAGATGTTGCTTCATCTAAAAGTAGAATCTTTGGATTGGATAAAACTGCTCGTGCAATAGCGATTCTACAATTCAATTTTCTTTAATAAGTTAGAAGAACATCATTTAATAAATAAATTTACCTTTGTTTCTGTCCTCCTGACAAACGCGATCCTTGAATTGATGTATTATAACCCTGAAAGTAAAAATATATTAAACTATTTCCAGTCCTGAAGAAATATTTGTATATCCATACATCCGGTAAGTCATTGCTGATGAAATCGTGAATATTTGCTATTCGTGCAGCTTCTTTGATTTCTTCGATAGTCGCTGTCGCATGACCAAAGCGAATATTTTCAGCAACCGTATCATTGAAAAGAATGGGCTCTTGAGAAACCACAGCCATATTTGATCGAAGCCAAGATAGATTTAAATGGCGAATATCATTTTTATCGAGTAGAACCTAATCAAATAAATAATACACAATAATTATTTATAATAGATGTACTTGTCCTCCATTTGGATCATAAAAACGTTGTATTAGATGAATAATTGTACTTTCTGAATATTACAATATAACATGTTTAATCAAGTCTAAGTTAAATGAATACTGTAAAAACTTACTGCCACAACCAGTTTCACCAACAATTGCCGTTGTCTTGCCTGCAGGAAAACGAACACTCAAATTATTCAGAATCTATTAATGAAAAACCATTGAATTAAATGTTGAAGTATGTTCAAGAAAAATACATCGAACGTAATATAGCATGAAGAAGTGTTTTTTATACTCTACTAGAGGGAGTATCCGCTGCAAATAAGAAATATCTATGTCGAACATCTCACGTGTTAAAGAGCTATAACAGGTAGAAAATCAGTATAATTCAAATTTCTACGCTTCTAGTCCTTATTTTCCCGCCGTGCATCGCATAAAATGGCAGTTTCGGCTATATCTTTTTCTGCAAAAGAGTTACCGAAGCTAATTTCTGCCTAAAAAATTATGAAAATTTCCTCTTTCTCACTTTCACGTCATTTCATACCTTATATCCTTCGAATTCATCCACCCTCAACATTTATCTTAATCTTTTGAGATCCTGTAACGCTATTGGTGAGTTTCGCAAATTATCTGTAGCATTCACCGAACTATCATAGGCGTAGAGAACACGTGGATTGTTGTCTTTGAGCGCTTAGACGGCCTTCGCTATTGATTTCATCCACTTTTGAAATCCTGCAATCCTATTGGTTAGTTTCATAGATTGTCTGTAGCAAACGGCTGGTTCCTTTGTTCTCGGGGAAAAGTAGATGTCGACTTTCCTCTGGGTCTCAGGAAGCATTGTGGAAAGTTTCACGCCGATATCTACTACAGGGACTGAATGCATAGTGAACAAACAAACAGACAAACTTTCTTCTTTATATATATATAGATTTTAAGATAATCCGTAGAACTTTTCTAACTCTAAATAGGAGTATTCTTCATAATCCTTGAAGTTCAATAAGATAATGTCATTTATCAAGCCTTTACTGCTTGGCAGGAGAAAAGGAGATATCAGATAGGTTCTTAAACATTCTTATAGGTTATTCGAATATCACCCATAGACCATTATAGATTATCTGTAGCCTCCTTCATAACTTCTTATGAACTATTCAGAATACGTTTCATCATTCTTCAAATCATATTCAATGATTATACTCTATCTAGATTCATACGACTTAAGAAAAATATCCCAAAAGCCCATAAAAAAATTTCTATATAGCCTGTAAAGATCTATGCTCAAACTAGGAATATGCAGTTTTAGTTTACTGATCATCATTATCATCAACATCAATACTACATGCACTACAGCACAGAAAACATAAGAAAAATGGCTTTTTTTATATATTATGTAAGTAAACATCGACATTCTAGTTTTTTTACTGTTACATTGCATACAGTATTGGTGACATACTGCCAACATTGACTGTTTGCGTCGAACAGACCACTAGAATCTATGCTGAGTTCTCACATAGTCCATACAGATCTAAGGATAACAATCTCAAATAGAATTCATGAGATCGCTTAGAGTTTCGAAATATTGTAGTCAACTAATTCCTCTTAAATAGTTTCCTTATAATTTTATTTCCTATAAAAAGTATTCATTGAAGATTCGAAAACTATTTTCATTAGGATAATAAAATATAGTTTTTGAAAGTTTTGAATTTCAGTCTAAAAATACCTTATTTTTAAAGTGATTCTAAATGGATAATATAAAATGAAAATAGTAAATAATTTACCGGTTTCTTTTCTTTTCTTGCTGGATAATTAAATGTAACATTACGAAGTTCAATATCACCTCGAACTACATGTGGTTGATTGTTCGTATGGTTGGTATAATCAATTGGTGATTTCTATAAATAAATAATTATTTAAATAATTTGTTCAAGAAAAAGTAGATTACAAATTCAACTAGCTATTTACATTTTTATACAGAACTTCACAAGCGCATCTCGCGCATGCGCTTTTATCTTTCTCTTCAACTGTCAAACAATGAGACAACAAAATTTATGTTCTATACGTATCAACGACAAGAGTGTGACAGGAGATGCGTTTACGGAGCTCTGAAATATTTGTTTTATGTTTAGCATTGAATTCCTTGAATCATATTTCAAAATCTCAAAAGTAATTCTAAATTATTTCAACTTAACGAGTATGAAGAGAAAACGGATCTTGTTTAGATAAATGAAAGTTTTTTATCATATTAATATCTCTACCGATGTTGTTACATACCCGATCAATAACAGCAAATACTTTTGCTCCTGCGACAGCAGCGTCAATAAAAGCAACTATATATGGAATGAACATGGATATACTATTTGTTGCAAAAAGACATGAGGTAAAAATCTTAAAATATTGAAATAAGAATAATTAAGATTTAAAGTAAAAGTTAAAACATACAATCATCACAACGCCGGCATCATAATTCCAACATTCTATACGTGCCAAATATGGCCCATACCAAAATATAAGAGCAACTGCACCATACAATGAAATGTTAACAAATGCTTGGCTAATACCCAGATAAAGACCTTTTCTTAAGCCGGCTTTCTTTGCATCTGCCAAACTTTGTTCGTATCTATGGAAAACGTCGAATTATATTCGAAATAAAGAAATTTTTTTCTTACCTAATACGTTCATGGTGTTGACCTCCAAAAGCAGTCACTATACGGATAACCGAGAAAACTTCATCAACAATTGCATTTGCTTTCATATAAGCGGTACTTTCATGTATGGTAAACTTTTTCATAACCTATTTCAACAAATAAGACTATTAATTAATCAATAATTAAAGAGAAAATTCAAAGGAAATGAATATTTCACAATGTTATAATGTTATTTTAAACGAAGTTATTGAGTTAGGGGGGGGGGAGGGAAGGAGTCGCGACCCCGTAAGTGCCCCTTTTTACGTGCTTATTAGGTAGAGAATAGTTTTTTACATATACTCTGAGATTTTCCAACCGGTTCATCAGCTAAAAACTTGCACAAAAAATTTGGTGAAGGTCTCAATTTTAATCACAATTTGGACTAAAGTTCACCCTCGTGTTTAACAAATTGTGAGCACAAAATTAAAGAAAAATATAACTTTTTATGCCAAAAGATGGAGAACGTTTTTCTCTATCGATCCCATATAGTTTAAGGACCTATAAAGAAGTTTTCTGGAGTGATTGACGATCAATACTGCCTAAATTTCTGACATTCTTCGTTGGGCAACACCTTTCAGTCGTGTTTGTATAGCTATTATCTTTTCAAACTTACATGAATTATAGACCATTCGGTAGAGAATTTCAAGCGCTACAACTTTACCGCTGATGAGACTTATTGATGTTTTCGTTTTCAAAGGTAAAAATGCCAAAAACCCTATATTTTTATGAAAATTGAGCTCAGGACTCGAGAAGGCCATTCTATGAAGGTGCTTAGTTATAGAAATTTCCCACATAAAATGAAAGGTCTACCCTAAACATATACAAATTCAAAATATCAGATCGATCGATTTATCTGAAATCGTGAACAAGCTACTAGATTGATTTTGCCATGCTATATAGGCCTCAATAAGCTGGGATACCAGAGGACATATACGGAATATCGTTATAGATAAATCAATCGATCTGATATTTTGCATTTGTATATGTTTAGGGTAGACCTTTCATTTTATGTGGGAACTTTCTATAACTAAGCACCTTCATAGAATGGCCTTCTCGAGTCCTGAGCTCAATTTTCATAAAAATATAGGGTTTTTGGCATTTTTACCTTTGAAAACGAAAACATCAATAAGTCTCATCAGCGGTAAAGTTGTAGCGCTTGAAATTCTCTACCGAATGGTCTATAATTCATGTAAGTTTGAAAAGATAATAGCTATACAAACACGACTGAAAGGTGTTGCCCAACGAAGAATGTCAGAAATTTAGGCAGTATTGATCGTCAATCACTCCAGAAAACTTCTTTATAGGTCCTTAAACTATATGGGATCGATAGAGAAAAACGTTCTCCATCTTTTGGCATAAAAAGTTATATTTTTCTTTAATTTTGTGCTCACAATTTGTTAAACACGAGGGTGAACTTTAGTCCAAATTGTGATTAAAATTGAGACCTTCACCAAATTTTTTGTGCAAGTTTTTAGCTGATGAACCGGTTGGAAAATCTCAGAGTATATGTAAAAAACTATTCTCTACCTAATAAGCACGTAAAAAGGGGCACTTACGGGGTCGCGACCCCCTCCCCTTTTAAGAAAATCAGTAAAGTACATATTTTATTCTCCATATCAAATTTCATTAACTGTGATAAAACATTGTGATAGAGTACGAAAGTATAGTATGTTGTGATGAACTTTTGAAGATTTTGACAAATTTAACCTTCAATTTATCGGTAACGGGTGTCACAAAATGAATAGCGCCCTCAGCATTTTTCATATAACTCATTCATTTTTCAATGTTTAAAGAAATTTTTTTTACCAAAACATTCCTCGTCAAATTCTCTACAAAACATAGATATTTTTATTATCTTAAATAACCTCCATTATTCTGTGACATGCGATACAATCGATCGGTCCAACAAGCACAACTTTCAAACACAACATCTTTTCGAATTTTTTTACTGCACGCTTTAGCTCTGAAATCAAAGTTGATTTAGATGTTACTTTATTCCAGTTGATGACCTTCACAAATTCATCTCAAATTCAGTAATCTAATAGGCTGAGATCAGGACTATCGGGTCGCCAATGATCTTTATCAATAAATGCTGGAAAACTATCATGGCACCGTTGTTGTGTTTGAAAGTTGTGCTTGTTGGACCGATCGATTGTATCGCATGTCACAGAATAATGGAGGTTATTTAAGATAATAAAAATATCTATGTTTTGTAGAGAATTTGACGAGGAATGTTTTGGTAAAAAAAATTTCTTTAAACATTGAAAAATGAATGAGTTATTTGAGAAATGCTGAGAGCGCCAATCATTTTGTGACACCCGTTATTTATCAGGATTCACGTCACGTTTTCCATCAAAAAAAGATATGAATACGCAAGCTACAGTTGGTATGAATGAACATCGATGAGATTTGGTTTTCTTGTGGAATATAGATCATGGCATCCCATGGAATCTATCAGTATCTGAGGGACTCGAGAGTTCAAGATTGGCTTTTTTCTCATTGTCTAAGAAGCGGTGAAACTCGAAAGAAGTCTCAAATAGTCCAAATGAATTCCGTATTCTCTTTGTATACAATCGAGAAAAATGCCATAAGAGTAGTAAGACAATCGAATAGTATACTCACAACAACTGTAATATTAAATGCGATTATAATCAGAGGAGAAACACTTAAGAAAACCAAAGAAAGTTTCCAACCATTCCATATTGAATATGCCAAACAAGCAACAATACGAGCAAGAAGAGCTGTGCAATCGGCCACTTGGTAACCAATTCCGTCACGTACATTATCCAAAGCGCTAAAATATAAATTCCGAAAGAGTTTATAGCACGAAATTCTTCAGGTTTATGTGAAAAAACTTTTGATTATTCCAGGAGAAAATAATAAATTTCAAATTCCTGAAATTCAACGAGAATTCGTTTTTTAATGTTTAATCACTCTTATGTAGTTCATTTTTAGACAATCATTTGGATCGAAGAATATTTATTCAGTTATTTTTAAGATGAATAAATATATCAATTAATTCTATTATATTTAGTTTAAAAAACCTTTGAGTCTTGTTAAGAAAGAAAATCCTATATCCATGACGTCATACACTTTCGTTCGGTTCTTCCACGTGACGTCATGATATATGTTCATCGTATGTTTTCGATATCTTTCTATTCTGACGTCATGTTATATTCCATAGTGTTCTAGTTCTCGTCAAACCCATTTAAACCCGATATTTCTAATTAATAAAACGATCTTGTGTACATACACATAGCCGATATAAAACTCCATCTTTACAGTCTTCTCAAACATTTTTTACTTACTCTACAAGTAGACCAGAAGAAAGATCGCTTGATGATCGACAGTCAAACCAACCAATATCTTGTCGCATAATATTGTTGATTAATGCGTATCTATAACAGTTATAATTACAATAAATGTTTGCTTTATCTAAAATTTGCTAGACTTTTACCTCATCTTACGAACTTGACGTTCAGCTGATATAATCCAGCAGTTAAAAGCAATCCATAAAAGAACAAAACAGGTGACACCAAATATTGCATACCATTTAAGGATCGACATTATATTATCATAAGGTGAGAGATCACTACCCAGATATGATGTTCTATTACGACTAAAAGTTCAAAAAATATCTTTTATTTTAAGTAGAAGAACATAGATTTAAAACTATTTACCAGTTTAATCCAATATTCGCTGATGTTGTTTCAAATTCTGTTTGATTTCTATCGATAGCAATAAATGAATCAATTACGGTTTGATAAAGAAGAAGAATTAGCGGATAAAATGCACCGCTAGCGATTGCTATGAAAGACAAAAAGTTATTTATAGAAACATTTCCAAAAACATAGAAACCATCTACTAACCTGCCGAAAGTCCCATGATCATCATGATTATATCCCATTTGTCAGCAAATCGAAACTAAACAATTGAAGTTTTTCTCTGAGATATATATTCATGTGATATAAGACTTACAATTTGAAAAGGTTTTAATCTTAGTGCAGATGATTCATTTGCTTTGTTTTGTACTGTTTCACCTGTTGTTGGTTGGTCGCTTCAAATAGAGAAAAATATATGCGAAGAGTTATTTTATCTATATATTTCAGTTTTTTCTCTTTGAAAATGTTATTCGATCAATATTTAAACAAGATAAATTATACTTCCTAGGCGCTATTCATATCGTATAAATAGTAGGTAACCAAGGAAAGGCAATCAGCTTCTATGTAACAAAAGTTTGAATCCCATTGAATGAAATCATTTCAGTTCAAACTTCACTACGTGTCTTTTAAAACCATATAGAGTTTAAATAGCTGACGAGAGTATCTTTCCAACTAGTAAATCGCTTTGGATTTTCAACTATATCTGTAAGGTATATCTCAATGAAGTATGAAAAGTCCAACACTAGCAATTGCCCTTAAGCTTTCTGGTCAAAGTTAGAGACCATCTATTCCAAACGGCAATAATTCAATCGCAGATAGATCTCTCTATGAGAAGAATACGCTGAAAATTTTAAAATATTTTACTCATATGTAGATCTATCCGTTAGCGAAATATCATCGTTCAATTTTTGGCTGTATTAGGCATGAATGAGAAAAAATGCATTGAAATGTTTATAAGTTCGAGCAGAAAGCTGAGACGAAACTTGATATCCCGAAGTCTTTCATATTTTATTGGCGTTTTTTTCTGCATATAGAGTGGGAACTGAGAAGAACTTTGATAAGTGCGAAAGTTGCTTCATAAGCTGCATTGGGCCGAGTCGGGTTGTTAGAACGAGGTTTGTTATGACCCTCGCTCAAAGTGGCGGCGCCAAGGGGGCTGAGCCCCCTAGGTTTTTAAAATTTTCGTAGAAAACTAATGATTTTCTTGGAAAAATATAGCACTTTTAGGACTGAGCCCCCCTTTAAATAAAAATCCTGGCGCCGCCTCTACTCGCTCATTATAGTTCTGCGTAAGCGCCTTTGTTCTTACTCTCACTTCGGCTCTTACGTTAGTAGTTGCCACTGTTCCTTCGTGACCCTTAAAATTATTGTACTAATTTCTATTTATGATTGGAACACTTTTTTCTTATGCTATAGACCAGTACGTACGAGCTATATTGTTGCCATTGATTTACGTGAGCATTGTATGGAGTTAAAGCTTCTTGGATATTCGAACTCGAATTAAACAATTTATAGATTAAAACACTTTAGTCTTTCTTAAGACACATGTTTCTTTGAACTATTACGAGAAAATTTGATCACATGAATGTATTCGATTACTACTGAAATGGTGGAGTTTTCAGGGGTATCATAGTAAAATTCGTTCGTTTAAAAAAACCCAAAACATATTCGTAACAAAGAATAGTTAAGTATTTCGAGCTTAAACAATCAAAAATTTGGTGTTTACAATAATATTGTTATGCTCATTAATATCTATTTCTTTCATAGATTTCAAACTTTGTTCTTTCTCTTTTGAATAAAAATGAAAGAATAAACGCTCTTAAAATCAGTAGTGAAAAATATTACTTACTCTGTAATATCATTAGAGACGTTTTCGTCGTGTGCTCTTGTATGTTCGTCAATATAACCATTGTTGACGAACGCAGGATTACTCGTATACTTATTCAAACTGATATCACGTTTATTATCAGCTTGGACTCGCTGTTGACGATACATAATATTTCTCGCACGCTATAATTATTTTTGCTTGATGCAGTTATACTATCTAATTATGATCATCAATTAACAATAGAGCTAATATATTGTATTGTGTTTATAGACGTACCGTATAAAAAAAGAAGTGTCTAATAATCCAGACGACACATATCACGACTCACTATATTTTTCTTGTATATAAATAAGAATTCGATGCTTTTTGCATCAGCTTAAATATACGACTGCAATATCTCGTACGCATTAATCATCACTAACCAATCAGTGCTCGAGATAAACTCTTGTTTGAGTCACTAGATTAAGTCAGACGTCCTTTCTTTTGTCATCCACTTCCACTTGGTTTTTACCTTTAACATGTTTGCAACCTTTACGCCATAATCTCGTGAATATTTTCTTTTTTTTTACGAACTCGTCTTCTTGGTCAAATATTGACACTGTGACGAACGGAGAATGTTGATATATACTTTCTTTTTATTGCTATTATGATTTCGCCTTTTTTATTGCATTCTTTTCGTCGCATCGCCGAAAGTCTGTGAATCATTATTTCTTTCGAAGAAAGAACGATATCTATTTTGAGTTATGACCTTCATCGCCGAAACTTACATCGCCGACAGAGGTATCAACGTTTCCTTCTCCCTAAGAACGGAACGCATTTCAAACTGCGTTTTTTAAGGTTTTTCAAGTATAACAAACTAGTTTCCATATACTTCTTGAAGGTATTAGGCAAAAGCGCTATGCTTTCTCCGTTCCCGGAGCAGAGAATGCATATTAATATTTTCATTTTGTAGAAACGGTCAACACAAAATATAGATCACATTTCTTGATAATTATCATTTGGGATTTGTTAAACGTTCTGAGAGCAGTGATCATGCTTTTTACTGTATAGACTGTATTAACAAAGAACAAAAATGATAAAGTTGAAATTATATCAACATTAACTTTATGAAGTAAATGAGTTATGGAAATTACTTTTTGCATTACAAGTTGTAATGGTATGTAGATAATTATATAATCAGTATTATGTCTGAGTGATGGGTGAAGGTGTCGATGTAACCATCGATAAAAACACTGACTAATATCATCAGTATCTCGCGCAATCACAGCTTAACCAACTCACATACATATCTTCTAGAATGTAATCTATATTCTCGTTGACTATCATTGAGCAAGGCGGTTTATATTAATACAGGTCATAAGTGAGAAAAAATCATCTAGGTCACTAGCGATCATTATGCACTAGCTAATCATAATCATAGGCATTTACTAGATCAATCGTAAATCATATTGAGAATAAAACTGCTGCAATTCGTCGATATTGATGAAGTTCAGTATCAGTCACTTGTAGTCCAGCTATTAAAATCGCCAGGAGTTAAATAATTGAGAATGACAGTAGATAGTATCATCTATGTCGCATTAGTCATGAGAATATTCATTTATGAGATAGCCATTTGTCTGACAAATGGTTCATTATCTGAATGTGTCTGGATGTTCCACTTTTGATGATAAACTCTGCTTTTCAGGTTGCTCGAAACGCGATTCGAGTAAGTGAGTTATGCACTTTTCATGATACTGTTTTTTTATAGATTGAATTGAAGGTTTCGTTTCCCAAACTAGTTCTCATGTTGGGTGTTGGTCTATCTACTAGCATCGTTATACATTCAGTCGATTTTCGAATGTAAGTCATATAGTTTGCATAAAATTTTTGAATTTATGTTGTAGATAAATATCAATACTTGATTTAGAAGTAAGTTTTCATTTATTTGACTTGCCACCTCTATTTATATTTCAAGACGCGTTAGATCTTTACTATTATAGTAAACGATTGGTGTGAATATCTTTCTCTATCTTATTTGTAGATGAAATTGGCTGACTGATATAACACGGTAAGTTTATCCGCTTAATTGAAAAGCTCGTTCTAAGCTTAATCTGTCTTCATATTTAATCTAAGTGCCAGTTATCGTTAGATATCTAACAAGAGAGCGGTTCAGGTGACATATCATTTTAGAGTTGAACCTCTACGTATAGGGCAGACTTCGATATGATGAGACAACGTACCATGACGTCTTTCATCAGGCCTTTTCTCAACAGTTATCGCCATGTTAATAGAGTTTTAGTCAAGTAATAATACGAAACTATGCATAGCTTTCAAGCTGATTTCTAGTTCTAGTCATATATATCAGACAGATATCAAGGACTAAGTGCAAAAGACATTGGAGGAAATTCTTCATAAAGCTTCTTTTTGTTGAAATTCTAATCATTTGTCTCGAACTTAAATCTGAAATGTCATAGGTATCAGTAAGATCCATGAGAATAGTTCGGTTTTAGATATTACACACGCAAAAATCTTCTGACTTCAATTTTTCAGAAAAATTCCTATTAATAAAATTCATTTTGTTAATAACAGCAAAGTTCAAATCTATCCATTCTGTGTTAGAACAGGCAATGAGATACTATACTTTCTGTATACTGAGGTATCATGAATAAAATGAATTTTATTAATAGGAATTTTTCTGAAAAATTGAAGTCAGAAGATTTTTGCGTGTGTAATATCTAAAACCGAACTATTCTCATGGATCTTACTGATACCTATGACATTTCAGATTTAAGTTCGAGACAAATGATTAGAATTTCAACAAAAAGAAGCTTTATGAAGAATTTCCTCCAATGTCTTTTGCACTTAGTCCTTGATATCTGTCTGATATATATGACTAGAACTAGAAATCAGCTTGAAAGCTATGCATAGTTTCGTATTATTACTTGACTAAAACTCTATTAACATGGCGATAACTGTTGAGAGAAGGCCTGATGAAAGACGTCATGGTACGTTGTCTCATTTTAATGAATCCTTTATTCAAGCATTGAAAAAAGGTTTAGTACGAAGCCTTTGAACTTTTTTCCTTTAAAGGTTACGCACCTAATCTGGCGTGCAGAACCTTGTAGACGAAACCATCTTCTAACGAAACCGTCCGAGATTGAGAGTGTATGTTCGCGACCAGATTCTTTTCTGGTTCTGTAAAGAAACCGTTTTCCTCACAGTATAGTTTTCGGCGATATTTTTTCGGCGATAAGTGATGCAACCTTTTTTCTTTCCAACATGAGGAATCAAAAAATAAGTGTCTATCATTGTACACTTAACTCCATTCACATTTTGACTTTTTTGTCGATAAGCTTATCAAGGTTACTACCATATATAAGATAAGTTGGTTTGCATGAAACTACTATTCTTTTTCTTTTCTCGACACAGTTAGCAATAACTTGATATCAAATCTACAAATCTATCTATAAAGTAGAGAAACATGGCGTCCGCAGATGAACACAAAAAAGCTGTTGAAAGTTACATTGCCGCATTATGTGCTCACAATATTGATGGGTACATTTCACATTATGATCCCGAATGTGAAGTTACACTTAATGGACAAGTTGTTATTCGGTCAAGAGATGAATTGAAGACAAAGATGGAACAAAGATTATCGAATCCCGATTATAAAGTTTATATTATTGAATTTTTACCAATTGAGGGTGATGATTGTGTACGCTTTATTGTGGAAGATACAGACAAAAGTCGAAAGGATGAAACTTGTATCTTTTCAAAAGAAGGCAAGATTGTCCAACAAATGATTACTATTCTGGGCAAACAATAGACCTCTCTTAATATATATATGACTTGTTTGTGACCAATTTGAAATTTTTTCCTTTTCTTAAATATAAATCTAAATTAATAAATACGTACTGTTGAGCAAACAGGTAAATGAGCAAAACAAATAACTTTATGCACAAAGATAGATGCGACATTTTTCAGAAACATTAGAGGAGAGAAAGTTCAAAATGAATTTCTTAGTTAAATGTGTAAAAACATCGATTAAAGTGCTTATTCCATCCGATGTTTTCACTCGGTGGGTGTGAAGGTGAGGGTGAGTTTGAATATAGGTGTAAAAGAATCGAATTTTAGAAATCTTCTCATCTGTCCGCGAATCTATCGATTTAAAATGATCGAAAACAAACGCAGCGATATACTTTAACAAACGCGAACAATTCGTTAAAAAACATCATAAAATCATAGCAGGACTCGAACCTACATCTTCCAATAACCGATCGGGCATTTTACCAACTTGAACTTTATGGTATTCGCTTCAGTCAGTTAATGACTATGAACTACATATCAACGATTAAAAAATGTTTCTTTTCGATCATTCGAAATCGATAGATTCGTGGACACATGGAAACATTCCTAAAATTTCATTCGTTAATATTTCCATTCCCATCGACCCATCCTCAACTCTTGACCTCTCAGCATTAGTGCTAGATACCTCTGCAACGCTTATTGAACCAATCTAATGATCCAAACCATTATCAAAGTTGACAGTAAAGTGGTACCATTCCCCATGAATATCAAAACCCGCCTCCACATCTCCGCTCACACCCTCACCGACACCCTCACCCTCACCCACACCCACACCCACACCCACACCCACACCCACACCCACACCCACACCCCCACCCCCACCCCCCCCCCCCGCCCCACCCACCCCCACA